TCCTATCTCCCACCACGTATGAATTTTAGTCTAATCTCTTAAAACATTTACAATCAAATACCATTCTTTACTATACGTCTTAGTTTTATACCTTATTCAAACGCTTGCATATAGAGACCACTGTCTTGAGGTCTCCTCATGAGGAGCAGCTGTCTGGAGCACTTGCGGGACATCTCAAGTCCTCTCCTTGTCCGGAGAGGAATTATCAAAGAGCCGGTCTATTTGTTGGCTCTTCATTCTGCTGTGGCCATTGGCTCTGTTTTTTGTGGAGCTGTCTTCAGTCTGCCATTTCTTCCCTAGATCATCACTTGCTAAGTTCTAAGTTCTACTGAGTGTGTCTATCCAGGCCAAATCCATCCAGGCCTTACCCCATATATTAAAATTACAGGATAGATGTCACTTCTGGAAAACTATGATGCCATCTTTCTGAGGGTCTTTTATAACATGGTGATTGAAACAGCCCATTCTCAAAGCTCATTACTCATTGCTTTGCTTCATCATAATTAGGCTAATGTGGTTTCCTGTAATCCTTGAATTGGCATAAAAATATGCTAGCATGAATTGTACTGTCCCAGCAATTGAGTTCTATCCTGCCTGAGTAAACAGGCTGGCAAATGGTCCTGTCCTTAATTTTTAATGCAGTACAATTTAAGGGCAGTGGTTAGTTGGAACCAAGTGTTTACCCATCTTTCAAGTTGCCTTCATGGCCATTGCACATATTCTGAATATGAGTCCAGTGCACTTTTGAAAGTGCACTAAATGTGTCCTGTGTCCAACAGTGGCCTAGCAGACAGGTCACAGGCATGGCAGAGTGTGCAGGGTGAAAAAGGAAGGAGCTCTCCTAGTATATCAGGCTGTTCCTTCAAAGTTCTGCTCCACTTGCCTACTAGCAATAAAGATCACTCCCAAAATCCAAGTAGTTCTTGTTCCCTGAGTTTGCAGGGCAGGGAGCCATGGAGATGACCTCAAAGAAACTATCCAAAACTATCTAGTCTTCTTGTAGAATCTGTTTCTTGATCTGGACAACACTGCAGGGCTGACAGCCAGCCTCAAAGGGCTTGGCACCAGATCACTGTCATGGAGGAAGGCTTGTAGCCCAAGACAAAGTGGCCATGGAGAGCAGTACTAACAACAGGAGAGGGCAGGGCAAGCTTGCAGCAGCCTGAAGTGGCCAATAGGATCCCAGCCTCTGGCTGTGCATCACAGATCATGTCTATGGCAAAAACTGTACTGGGAGAAGAGCAGAAACACTACTTTCAATCTGGAGGAGCTAAATATGACTTTAAGCTGCCTCAGCTGTAGGTTGGGATGAGACAAAGGGAACAGCAAGAAGACATTTACTTTAAAAAGAGTTCATGCAGCATCTTCATGCTGTGGCTAGAAAGGTGAGAGGTTGAGCCATATACTGATGAGATCTGAAAAGCCATGTATGCTGAAATTAGTTCTGTGCACATCGGAGAGATCCACAGATGTGCCCAAAATTGCATACTTCTACACTTTGCTAAAGCTAGCCTGAAATGTTTTGCTGCCTGAAACAAAGATCAGAGATTCTTGTTGGAGAGTTAATTTTTTTAAAAAAAACAATGGAGTGAGTCCTCCTGCACCTGAAGGCAGCAAGTGAGCTTAGGGGGCAAAGGGTGTACTGCACTCTCCTTCCAAACTTTGTTACTGCCTTCCAGCACCCACTACCTGAGATGAGGGCTGCACTCTGTGAAATGATAGGGCTGGTCCTTGCGCATTGCTTTGAAAGATGTACCTGTTCCAAAGAGCAACTTCTCAGGGAATGTGAGGATCTACAGCACAAGATCCTAGGGGTGTATGTTGCAAAATCCTTTGGCTCCTACATGGCAATGTGAGAAAAAATGTAGATCTGGCCTTGGGAAGGGATAAGAGAGCAAAGAACCATTCAGGGTGGAGAAACAGCAACTCACTCCTGAGAAAGTGGAAAGCGCGAGAAGGAATAATTTGAAATCACTTTCAAGATGCTCACTGTCTACCCTTCACCAATGAAGAACATTCCTGAAATCCCTGCTGCTTCTGTTTCTTGACCTTACCTGCCATGAAGGGCTGACATAATGTATGAATTGAGCAAGTGGGTCATTCGAAGGATTTGGTTCCAGAACCTGTTAATTTTTATGTTGACCACAAGGATCATATTGGGCTGTCTTGCTCCATTGTTAGTAAGGCTGGTATCACTGTCTAAAATGTTGAACTCTTGACAAGTAACAAAGAGAGCAGCTTCATATGAAACCCCTGTTTCTGCAGTTATCTCTGAGCACAAACAATGCTTAGTTACAGAGCAGAATGAGGTGAAGATGTATTTGTAAAACAAATGAGTATTTGGGCAGCTGGAGGAATTTTTCCAACAATGATTTTCAAGCAAATTCTGAGTGTCTGTTCTTTATAAATGTGGAAGAAACAGTAAAGAAGGGACTTCTGTGATGCAAAAAAGCATTCTGATCAACAACAGCTTTATAGTACACTTGATTTTAGCAAGAATAATTTTAAACAATATATATAAAATACTCTGGAACTATTACATGAGAACAATAATGCCTCTACTAGAATTAATAAGTAACGCGCAAATAAAAATCAAGCTTGTGGTATTCCTGTAGATTCATAGTGTAATATGTGGAGATTACTTGAAGATGTAAATCATGCTATTGGTCTATTTCACTTGACCCAATTTCAAATGCTTACCTTTTTTGGAAGAACAATATGATTAAAGGGACTTTTGCAGGGCATAGAGACAAAGGCATAAGAAAATCATAATGAATGCTCTTGTGAAGAACTCAGATTAGATTTCAGTGAGATGGTCTTGATTTGCATCAAGTCTTCTCTCCCTATTAGGCCCCAAATTATTTATTTATTTATTTATTGGATTTATAGGACCACCCCACCCAAACAAAGTGACTCTGGGCAGTATATAACAAAAAGCAAACAAATAAAAATCCAATGAACAAAGAACAATAACCATACAACGTTAAAAAAGAACCATATTTAATTACAACTCTACTTACTTGTCTTGCTTTTTCTGCAACTTAGAAATGCCAGAATAGTACAAAACAAATATATGAATCACCAAGTATGTATCGATCTGAGCAAGTATTACACCCCAAATGTTTTACAAATAAACAGAAAAATGTAAAATGT